GATTGGGATTGCCTCTTCGTAGCGTTTTGCAAATAAATGCTGAAGGAATGATTATGTGTACAGTCCATTTTGGATATGTTCAATAATATTTACGCCACTTTTTGGTTTTGCTAGATAGTTGGTATTTTCTTTTTACACAAGGGTGAGTCGATGAATTAGTGGATGAGTTGTCAGAGAGTCTTTTAATTTAATCAAACATTTTGATTTCAAACGGTGAAAATGCAATTTTGTTAAAATTCGTGAGGGGGAGCTTGCCGCTCGTTAGGTCCTACTCTGTTCGAATTCAGATTAGTCGGTGACCTAATAAGCTTCCGGATATCGGGTGATCCATACTAAAAAATTATAGTTTGTTTTTAGGATTTTTTTTAAGGTACTGGTATATCTTCCGTATAATTATTGTTTATGCAATTTTTAGTATATATTATTGGCAGCTGGGGACTACCAAACAAAATTGTCAATACTGTATCGGCATGTGTATCGGTTTTGTTACTGAAACGGTACGTACTGAATATCAAAATTTTTCGTATACCGTTTCAGATTTATCACTATATAAATATATTTTTATAAATTAAATATCAAAATTTAAAATAAAATAAGATACTAATGTTTAAAACCATTTTATTCTTTTAAATTGAAAACACGTTTAAAATGATCATTTTTAGCCCCTAAACTTCTAATATATGCATATTTTTTCGTCCATCCACTTTAAGTTAAGAGACTAAAAATATGTATAATTCAATAAATTTAATGGAGTAATTGATAAAAGGACTAAAAAAATACATTTTTCATAGTTGATGGATTAAAAAAGTACATAAAAAAGTTAAATAATTAAAATTATCTAAAACATTAAAATTGAGGACCAAAAATGAAATTTACTATTTTTAAATTTAAATTGAGTTATACTAGATAATTTTCATATATCGGTGGGCACACCAAAATTTGATTGAAACAAATAAAATTTGATCAAAATAAAATTAAATTATGTGTCGTTTTGATTTAATACAAAAATTGATATATATTTACCGTACCAACCAATACGATATGGTATTAATAACACCGATAGAGAGGCATCTTCCTAAACAAGTAAACAACAATTCTCTCTTTCCTAGTGTAAGGACAGGTCTGAGGTGCCCAACCTCGGACATACGACAGTAATTCTTTTATAACCGGAGTGAAAAATAAATCCAGAACTTCTCGCTCAAACAGCTGCATGACAACGACAATAAGCATGCCTACACCTGATTCTTTATGATAAGATGCACAGCAGTTATAATGGACGTCCTTCTATCTGCATATCTTTCAAATTTTCGATCCCGAAATAACCGTCTGGATGGACACGCCAAGCTTCGATTATCTTGCTCGGCATGTCACGTGGGTTCCTCACTGGAGTCGATAAATACCTCCCAAGGGCCACATCAAAAAAGGTAATTGAAATCAACCCTAAGCTCCTTTTTTCTTCACTCTAAAGATAACTTCGATTATTGCTAATTTAAGTATCGGAGTGTCTACCCTGATGACCCACCTCGAAGCTTTGCAATTCAATCCAAAGTGCAAATGCAAACTGAAAAAAGACTTATGGTTGGATGCAATTACACCTGGCTTCTTAACCTAATCTTTGCTTCTATTCGTCGTCCTAATTACACTTTCTCAGGCATCCCGTGGATTGCTAGTTTGACCGAGTCTTCCTTCCCC